TCGTATGTTGGATGGTATTTTCTGGTTCAAATGGCTGTCTGTATCAAATGCCAGCATTTAAAAATCGATTTCCTCTCTATAAAAAATCTATTTCCTCCACTCCTGTTTCAATGTCAACAACTCTATTGTTAGAATCTGTGAGTTGGTGTCTTTCCAGCCAAAGGATAATTCAGCCGAGATGCTTGATTTTATGATACAAATGTGATCTCACTTCTCCATGAGCTGCCTCCTGAAAAATCACTTAGTGGAGAAGAGACAAAAAGACATAAGAGCCCAGCGCGTGCTGTGCTAGCTGCTGGCTTTGGCGGCGGCGGCCGGGGCAGCCAAGTCTGAAAGACTCCCGCCAAGGCGGGAGGGGGCTCCCGGATCCCCTCCAAGAGGTGGACACCCGTCCTCCCCCCGCCTCTGGAGGTGGAGGATCGGCAGAGAAATCATCCTGGGCCAAGCGCTTTAGCCTGGTGTTTCACGGGAGCCCGGGTAGAGAGGACAGCTTACCGCCCTTCCCGCCCGCTGCTTCCTGCTGGGGGAGTCTGGGCGAACAGTGGCGGGCCAGGGGGTGTGGTCGGCTGCACCCCAGGCTGGATCCCAGGGGCCTAGCCCGACTGCACATGGCCCCTCCCCCAGGACAGACAGAGCGCCGCTCAAGGCTAGCCCCTCGTGGGTTTCGCACCCTCTTTCCTCCCCCCTCTCTCTATCCAACAAAAGACTCCAGAACACACATGCTTGGACAAGTTATTTGGGGACAATAAATGAAGCTGGCGGGGCCTCAGTTTCCTCTTTTGTATAATAATATCAAACTTTACATTTTTTTAAAAAAAAGATGTTATTTATTTGAGAGAGAGCGAGAACGAATGGGGTGAGGAGCAGAGGGAAAAGCAGAGAGCCCAGTGTGGGACTGGATCAGAGGACTGAGCACGGAAGGCAGGCACTTAACCAACTGAGCCACCCAGGAGCCCCAAACTTTACAATCTTTAGAAAACGATTTGGTAGTGTCCTATAAAGTTAAATATACACTACTCAATGTATAAGTATTTCCCCAAGAGAAACTAAAATCTTTGTCCACTGAAACACCTGCCTATAAATGTTTATAAGCACCTTAATTCATAATAGCCAAAGACTAGAAACAACTCGAATGTCCAATCAACAAGTAAACTGAAAACACACAGTGATGTATTCATACAATAGAATACTGCTCAGCAATAAAAGGAACAAACTACTGATGTTACATGTTTAAGCATGAGCTAATCTCAAAAAGATTATGCTAAATAAGCCAGACTATGATTCCACTTATATGAAATTCCGGAAAAAACAAAGCTAACCTGTGGCATAAGAAATCAGAACAATGATTTCTTTGGATGATATGGACTGAGAAGGGCAGAGGGAACTTTCTGGAGTGATGGAAATATTCTGTATCTTGAAGTGAAGGTTACATGAGTATCTACATTTGTCAAAACTCATAGAATTGGGGTGCCTGGGTGGCTTAGCTGTTAAGCCTCTGCCTTCGGCTCAGGTCATGATCTCAGGGTCCTGGGATTGAGCTCCACATCAGGCTCCCTGCTCCTCGGGAAGCCTGCTTCTCCCTCTCGCACTCCCCTTGCTTGTGTTCCCTCTCTCGCTGTGTCTCTGTCAAATAAAATCTTTGAAAAAAAAAAAACTCATAGAATTGTACTTAAAATTTTGTATGTTTTATTTTCTATAAATGAAACTTCAATTTTAAAATATATCTGAAAGAAAAAACGTTTGAAAAAATAATAGTACCTTATAGGGTTGTTGTAATAACCAAATGAGTGAATATGTGAAGTGTTTAGAGCAGCGCCTGGCACATAAGATATTACCATGTTAAGTATTTATATAGTATTTATAGTATGAACATGTAGTATTTATATAGCAGTTTTACATAATATCTGTACTTAATCTGAAATCTGTGACACTGGGACTTATATTTTAAAATACTGTATGTCAGAATTTTCCATAAAGGAGTTCACATTGGATGAATTGACCTCCCTAAGCCTCAGTTTCCTCATCTGTAAAATGGGAATAGTACCTATCCCATGTGGATTTGGGGGACCATTGTATGAAACCACCTGTTTCAGAAATAAAACTATTGCTGATCTCTGCGGAAGTGGAACGCTGGTGACGAGAGGGTCTTTGTTTAGCATGCCTTCTCAAGAGCAGTTATGGGAGGGCCCCAGCTGCTCTTCTCCGCATAAGGATGGAGGAGAGATGCAGAAGCTCAGAGGAAAATCTTGGAGGGAGTGCCTGGAACTGGGCTAGATTCAGAGGCCTCTCAGAAAAAGCGTGGATTGGAATATCCAAGAAAGCGAGTAAGGCAAGAGATGTCTAATGGAATGAAATACTGCACCCTGCTGTATGTATAAAATTCCCTCTTTTCTTGGTCTCCTCTATAAGCCTTCAACAACAACAACAAAAATCTACAAGATAAAGCTCTCGTGTAAATGGATTTTTTGGAGAAGTGAGAGGAATTGCTAAATCCTGCATCAAGGGTGGCACTGGGAGGGAAGGTAGGCTGCAAATACCCAAATCTGGGTTGTTCGGGTGTCCGGCACCGTCCTGAGTGCAGGGTACGTGCTTAATAAATGACAGACATTTTACGTCGTGTGTACACTGCTGGCGGAAGATCCTGCCTCGTTGCAAGCGGTGGGCTGAGGTCAGAGCTCCAGAGCAAGGGTTTCTATGACAACAACGGCGTCTCTGCGCCCCGAAGTGGGCGCGTGCAGTAGGGACGTGGCCGGGGTGGGCTCTAGTTTGCCTCACCTGCGGACCAGCAAAACCTCCCTCAGTGGGGCGCAAATGATTCCGTCCCACCCTCCACTTTAGCTTCGTGCGGGTCCACAGGCGCCGCTCGGCGAGCAGCGACCGGCCTCTCAGCTGTCGCGCCCCGCCGCGACTCTCGCCCATGCCCTCCCGGGATCTGGCCACGGGGGCCCGCAACCCGGGCCGGTGACAGGACCCTGTGCTCTGCGAGCTGTCCTCACTGCGGCCCTCGGCTCGGGACTCTGGCCCGCTGCCCGCCGGCCGCCCGGACTCCCCACCGAGCGAGCCGGAGAGTGCGCAGGGACGGCTCCCCGGCCCAGCGCTCCCTCCCCAGGGGCCGGGCGGGGGGGGGGGGCGGGTCAAGGTCTCGGCTCCGCTCGCTCGCAGCGCCGCCCCCTGGCGCTGAGCCGGCCGCAACGTGCGCACGGCCGCAGCGCGGATCTGGCGCAGCCGGTTCCGCCGCCGCCGCCGACGGGGCGGAGACTGGGCGCCCGCGTGGCCCCGGCGGCCGGCCGGAGGGGTCCGAGCCGCTGGCTGAGTAACCGGCCCGGGCCGCGAGCGCAGGCCGTGCGTCCCCCGGGGGCCTGTGCTCTGCCTGGTCCTAACGGAACGTTTGACGTCGCAGACGGCGCCCCCGAGGCTGCGCGGATTGGGACAGGCATGTGTAAAACAGGGTCGCAGCCTCAGTGCCCTCAGCTGGTGATGCAGCCGTGGGCAAGAGCCAAGCCCTTCTGCAGGCAAGGCCAGGCAGGCAGCCTCCCACCCACGAGGAAGTCAGGAGTTCCTGACCTCTCCCCGTGACCGCATCCCATCTGCCTCTGCCCTGGCCCTCTGCTCCCCGAACCTGTTTTGAGGATAGGCTTGAACTCCTGCTTCTGACACTCACACCTACTGAGTGTCCATCTGTAGGGACCTAGGGTTGCCCTCTTTGTCTTTGTCCTCCCCCACCACCCCCACCCCAGCCATCACCCTGTCTTCCCCAGTGACCCAGTCTCTCCTAGACCTTTCCTCAGCCCCACCCCTGACGCTTGACCCTTACCACAGGTAAACCTCACGTAGCTCCTTCAGCAGTAAGCCTGGTGCTCAACCCCACCCCCATTTTCATCCGTGTTTCCCTGTCTTCACAACCTTGTGGCTATTTCTGGCTCCCTATTCCCCCAAATCACCACTATCCATCCTTAACAGGGACTCCAAACCCTGCCCTTCCCCACTGTCGTCATGGTCCCTGACTCAGCCCCCTAGCCCTCCTTGAATCTGGGATTACTGCCCCAGTCCAGCGCCGAAGCTTCTCCTGACACGGCCTGATGGACCTGCTGGTGTCCCCACTTGAGACTCCAGCTTCTGCCCTGCTCTGGGTCTCACCCCCAGCCTGTACCCTCACTTGTGCTCACAGAGCTGTCAGTGGAATCCAGACTCCTGGCAGAAACTTCTCTCCCTGTTCAGCAGCCCTCCTGGGGTTCACAGAGCAGATTCAGGTTCCTGCTTTTTCTGCCCGAAAGGATGGAGCCCCATTTTTTAATCTCACCTGCTCCTGTGGGTCCTGCATCCTCCAAAGACCTCCTGGGATGATGGAGAAGGAGGGGAGCTTGCCTCATCCTTCCCTCTGGCACACCCTGGGTTGCTGTTTGGTCAGCTAAATATTCCCACCAAAAATTGGTAAAGGAAGCAAGAGCTGGTTTAATCCTCAGAGTCTTGGCTGCCCCTGTTTTCTGGAGTTTATGATGGCAACATTGCCACTTTCTGAGCACCTACTGAGTGTATTAATGGACCCCCCAAAAGGAAGATCATCACCCTTTCCCCTGGCTTAGCTAAATCCTAACCCTGCCATCAAGACTCAAGCCCCATGTAGCCAAGGGCTTAATTAAGAGCCCACCTTTATCACTTGCCATGATTTTCTCACTCTGTTGTTGCTGTCTCCAGAAAGAGACAGTGATGTCAACTCCGTCCCTGTGATCAGCTCTGGTGGACCCCAGCAGACCCCAGCACACCCCAGCCAGTCACATGCCAAGAGAGGGTGGACTCCCCTTTCCAGTGGCACTCGGGATGTATGTTGTGGATGGGTGCCCAAGAAGATACGTGGATGCAGGTCCCTCATGCCCCATGAGGCCACCACAAAGCTGTTCTTGGCCCATTACTGAGGACACATGGTGTCCTGCCTCTGGATGAAGACAGGAGTCCATCCTTTTGGGGATACACACTAAAATAGTGCTTCTCATATTTCCAGGTTTTTTGCACCAGGAAAAATCACTGGCGTAGGGTCCACTGTGGAGCTTGCTAACTTTTTACTTTGCCAAGAAGTGCACTGACAGTAAGTACCATCTACTATCACCATCATTTCATTTACAAACGAATTTTAATTCCAATAATATGGGAATGGCATTGATGCATACTAACAGATTTTGCTTTTTAAAAAGCTTTTGTTTTGAAATGTTTGCAAACAAACAAATTGCAAGAATAGTACAATGAACTCCTATATGCCCTTCCCTCAGATTTACAAAGTACTAACATTTTGCCATATTTGGCTTATTGTTTTCTTTCACACACTCAGAAAGAGAAAAAGTAGTCTCTATACAAATAAATTGTAAAGTAAGTTGTAGATATGGCACCTCTTAACCCTGAAATACTATAGTATTATTATCGAAATCAGGAAATTTAACATCTTTGGTACAATAATATTATCGAATCTATGTACCTTCTTCAATTTTTGTCAGCTGTCCCAATAATGTCCCCTCCCCCTGCTGCTGGAGGGGAGTTGGAGGAGGGTTCCCTCCTCCCTCCCATCTCCTCCTCCCCTGCTTCTCTCTCCTCTCTCACTTCCTCCTTCTCCTCCCTCTTCTCCACTTCCTCCTCCTCTCCACCCTCCTCCTTCTCCCTCTTTCTCCTCTTCCTTCTCCTCCTCCTGCTTCCCCTCCTCCTCCTCCTCCTAATAGCTGTTGTTTTCTCTGGTCCAGGATCCTGTCCAGGATCAGATACTGCATTTAGATGTCTTGTCTCTTTAGTCTCCCTCAAACTGGAAGAATTCCTCAGCCTTTCTTTGTGTTTTATGACATGGACTTTTTAAATTTTAAGTACAGGCCAGTTATTATGTAGAATAACCCTCAGTTGGAGCTTGACTGATGTTTCCGCATGATCATATTCAGGCAGTGCCTTTTTGCCAAGAATATACCACAGAAGTGATGTGTCCTTTCTCAGTATATCACATCAAGAGGCACATGACATTGGTTTGTCCTATTTTGAGAAATGTTAATTTTGATCACTTGGTGAGAATGGTGGTGACTGTTTCCCCACTGTTAAATTACTATTTTTCCCTTTGGAATTGGTAAGTAATTTTTCAGGTGAATTAACAAGCCTTTTAAATGAAATAAAATTGGCTTTCTGGAAAACTCATTCCCTAGTCCCTATTTTCCTTATTTGCTCATGTCTGTTGAAAATATCTTCAAATCATCAGTAATTAGGGCGCCTGGGTGGCTCAGTCAGTTAAGTGTGTCTGCCTTTGGCTCAGGTCATGATCCCAGGGTCCTGGGATTGAGTCCCACATTGGGCTCCTTGCTCAGTGGGGAGCCTGCTTCTCCCTCTCCCTGCCGCTCCCCCTGCTTGTGTGCTTTCTCTGTCTCTCTGTCAAATAAGTAAATTTTTAAAAAAATTAAAACCAAACAAACAAAAAACAAATCAGCAGTGATCCATACACTGGCTCTTAAAAATCGCTGCACAAGGGCACCTGGGTGGCTCAGTTGGTTGAGCGACTGCCTTCGGCTCAGGTCATGATCCTGGAGTCCCGGGATCGAGTCCCGCATCGGGCTCCCTGCTCGGCGGGGAGTCTGCTTCTCCCTCTGACACTCGCCCCTCTCATGTGCTCTCTCTCTCTCATTCTCTCTCTCAAATAAATAAATAAAATCTTAAAAAAAAAAAATCGCTGCACAAGAATGCAACTAAATTATTTATCTAACAAATACTTGAGTACTATATAAGCCATGCAACTCAGAGGAAGAATGGTTTACAAGCAGGACCAATAAATAATACAATCAAATATGGCACGCCTCTTTTATAGAAAGCCTCTGAACCTAACTTCAGATTTGATGAAAACACAGGGACAGAGGAACAAGCTGAACAACACAATGGGGAAACAATCACTAAATCCAGAATGTGGAACATTCTGTAAGTAAGCTGGCCTGGGGCACCTGGGTGGCTCAGTCAGTTAAGCGTCTTCCTTAGGCTCAGGTCATGGTCCTGGGATCAAGTTCCACATCAGGCTCTCTGTTCAGCAGGGAGCCTGAGTCTCCCTCTCCCTCTGCTGCTCCCCCTGCTTGTGCTCGCTCTCTCTCTCTCTGTCAAACAAATAAATAAATAAAATCGTAAAAAAAAAAAAAAGAAAAAGGAAGCTGGCCTGCAATCTTCAAAAGGACGATGTCAGAAAAAGAAAGGAGTGACTAATCTGGATTAAACGCAACAATTCATGAGCTTTGATTGAATCTGATTTTAAAAAACTATAATTAGGGACAATTGGGGAAATTTTCATATAGACTAATACTAGATGATACTATGAAATTATTGTTGGTTTTCTTAAGTATGATAATGGTTTTATAGTTATATAAGGGAATGCCCTTATTTTAGGAGATGCATGCTAATGTGTTTAAGGGTAAAGTGGCATGATGTTTGCAATTTACTTTCACAACGTTCAGCAAGGGGCACCTGGCTGGTTCAGTTGGAAGAGCATGAAACTCTTGATCTCAGGGTTGTGAGTTCAAGCTCCACGTTGGGTGGAGAGATTACTTAAATAAATAAAACTTCAAAGGGGTGCTTGGGTGGCTCAGATGGTTAAGTGTCTGCTTTCAGCTCAGGTCATGATCTCCTGGTCCTGGGATAGAGCTTGGCATAGGTCTTCCTGCTCAGTGGGGGGAGTCTGCTTCTCCCTCTCCCTCTGCCTCTCCTTCTCCCTCTGACTCTCCGCAGCTCATGCTTTCTCTCCGCCCCAGCTTGTGCGCTCTCTCTCTCTCTCAAATGAATAAATAAAACCTTTAAAATAAATAAATAAGGGATGCCTGGGTGGCTCAGTTGGTTAAGCATCTGCCTTCGGCTCAGGTCATGATCCCAGAGTTCTGGGATCGAGTCCCACATTGGGCTCCCTGCTCAGCGGAGAGCCTGCTTCTCCCTCTGCCTGCTGCCCCCCCACTTGTGCTCTCTCTCTCTGACAAATAAGTAAAATCTTTTAAAAATAAATAAATAAACAAAACCTTAAAAAAAGGTTCAGCAAAAACTCATGCATATTATGTATAGAGAGAGAGCAAAGTTGCAAAATATTAAAAATTGTTGAAGCTTGATAGAGAGTAAGGATGCTCATAATACTATTCTTTCAAATTTTCTGTGGTTTTGGATTTTTGAAAATCAAAGATTTGAAGGAATAATATATAGGTGTAATTATGATTAATAAAAATAAAACCCCCTTTAAACTGTTCCTGAATTTACAGGGCACCTGAGTGGCTCAGTGGGTTGAACGTTTGACTTTTGATTTCGGCTCAGGTCATGATCTCAGACTCCTGGGATTGAGCCCCGCATGGGGTTCCACACTCAGTGGGGAGTCTGCTTGTTTCCCTCTCCCTCTGCCCCTCCCTCTGCTCACACATGCTCTCACTCTCTCTCTTTCTCTCTAAAATAAATAAAATAAGTCTTAAAAAAAAATAGAGTGTTGCTGAATTTACAGTATTTTTTATTATTGTAAGTTTTCTCTACTAGTTTCTCCTTACTGTTATATGTGGAGAAGCACCTCAATTTTTTTATATTTAAAAAGGCTCCTAATTCAGCCTTTCTGGAAAGTATCTTGGTAATATATGAGACATCTTACAAAGTTCATATCACCTTTGACTTGGGTATTTACCCAAGAAAATAACCATGCACTTCTGTAAAGATTCAGCAACTGAGTTGTTCGTTCCAGTGTAACGGTACCTCAGTGAAGAAATTGTGTATAATTTAAATGCTCAACTCTTTACTGCTGGTTGAATAAACTCTGGCCCAACCACCTAAAGAAAGGAATATGGCACAGGCATTGAAAACGTGAGGTCAGCCATGTTGTTGAGGCTGGTAGCACAGGCGTTGTTGAGGCTGGACGACTTGTATACAGGAGCCCATTATTTTTCATTAATTAAAACATGCAGGGCACCTGGGTGGCTCAGTCGGTTGGGCGACTGCCTTCGGCTCAGGCCATGGTCCTGGAGTCCCAGGATCGAGTCCCACATCGGGCTCCCTGCTCGGCGGGGGGTCTGCTTCTCCCTCTGACCCTCCTCCCTCTCGTGCTCTCTTGTCTCTCGTTCTCTCTCGCAAATAAATAAATAAATCTTTAAAAAAAAATGCAGAACGATGTTTAACAAATGAAAAGATTGGTACAATATATTTAGCTTATGAAAAAAATAGTATGTACTGTCTAATCCTACTTTTGTTTAAAAAAAAAAAAAAAGACTGGAAAAATATACATCCAAGTGCTCAACCTTGGTTATCCGTTTTTATTTTCTCTTATTTATTTTATCTCATTTCAACTTTCTAAAACTTATAGAGTGCACGTGAATTACTTTTATATTAAGAAAGAACAATAAAAATGCTGTTTGAAAGATGACAAAGAGAGACACAGCGAGAGAGGGAACACAAGCAGGGGGAGCGGGAGAGGGAGAAGCAGGCTTCCCGCGGAGCGGGGAGCCCGATGTGGGGCTCGATGTGGGGCTCGATGTGGGGCTCGATGTGGGGCTCGATCCCAGGACCTGGGATCATGACCTGAGCAGAAGGCAGACGCTTAACCCACTGAGCCACCCAGGCGCCCCTGCAACGTGTTCTTCGGCCTAGTTTGAAGGAGCTCCACTGGGGGTCCCTGGGGCCTCACCCAGAGGTGGGACCATCCCCGGCCACAAGGTGGCAGTGCTGCTCGCGGAGGGCGCCTCCTTCGACAGAGCACCCTCGGCCGCACCCGCCCCTCCCCCCCCCCCGCCCCCAGTGTCTTCTGCCACCCCCCACCCCGGCTCCCCTCTTACCCTGAAAACACAGGAGCACTGCCTGAAAAAAAGAAAGACATCCTGGTGTGTACGGGGGCTCCTCCCCTTTCTGCACCTAGGTTAGGGGTGCAAATAGTGCCAGCCCTGAAGATGGCGAGTCTGGAAACGTTCCTTTCCTTGGGGATACTAGGCGGAGAAGCCTTCCCCTCAAACAGTTGTCTAGTTGTATCTAGATGTGGCAGAGCCGCCAGACTGAGAGAGAGTGAGTGTGTGTGTGTGTGTGTGTGTGTGTGTGTGTGTGTGTGTGTGTGTGAGAGAGAGAGAGAGAGAGAGA